GAAGGAAGGAAGGAAGGAAGGAAGGAAGGAAGGAAGTCCATAATGCAATACATTCATAAGGCCAAGTCAGAAACTACATGTTATTTATAATTAATACAATTGCATGCTATATATTTAACAGTTTTTGCATAGTCTCTCACTCAGCATTAATAATTTGGTAGCAGTTTTGAAGGGGTTGTAAAGAGTCTGGTTTGTTTAAATAAACAATATGATTTTCTGCCTTAGGCTCTGGACATAGAGGTCCCTGATTCAGAAAACACTAATAATGGGGCTAATGCCTTAATACAAGTTCCTGCCTCAGCCCCAGAACCGAACGAGGACCAAAACAAGGCACAGCTGCCACCACCTCGTCCTCCTCCTCCACCACCACCACCAGAAGAAGTGCCCAAGGCAGTCCAAGGGAACAAAGAATCTGATGTTCCTGAATGTAAAAGTGACAAAGTGGACAGCAATGCTAAACTTAATGGAAATGAAAAACTGTCAGAGCCCATTGTCATAGAGGCAGTTGCTGGAATCAATGAACAAGGAGGTACAGATGGCTTGGACCCCAAGTCCTTGACACTTCCAGAGACCACTAGAGTGCCCCTAACATTACCAGCTCTGCAGAGACTCCAGATTGCTCCCAGCCTCGCATCTTTAGGCACGGAAGCCTCTTCAATCATGGATATAACTTGCAGCAATCTGAACCTCAATAAGTAAGTCAGACTGAACATTAGCTGGGTATTTTATTTCACAATTATATTTGGTAACACAAAACTGACCTACCTAGCCCAAATACTTACTTCACTCTTTCCTTAATTGTTTATAGTATTGAAAATAGATAGGGTGAACTCTGTATGCTTGAATATTTGTACTTAATTTATAGATGTGCACTATAGAAAATTTGAGGTTCCTACCAGTAGCTAGGTTAACTCAAACTCTCATATGAAAGAGTTTGCATTTCTTAAGATCTGGGTTTTGGCTAGAATACAACTGGGCAAGGTTTTGTTGACAGAAGCCATACATTGTGGTTTTTGTGGGGAAAGAGCTGCAATGGATGAAAGTATGATATAGTGAGTGGGACATGTATTACATATATACATGGAAGGAGCTAGTATTTTGCTTGTGTTCTCTGGGAAATAAGTCTTTCATTATAATTTTCAGGTACTTCCCACCTGAAAATTAAGGAAAAGCAATAGTGCTTTGGAAGAAGGTCTTCAAGAATCAGAGTGGTTATTTCAGGAAGACATGTATAGATTGTTTTATAATTAAAATTATAGTTCAGTATAAGAGAATATAGACAGAATAATTAATGTAGAATTCTAAGAAAATAGTTCTTCTAGAACTGTTGGGCTATAATTTCTATCATTGCAATCCAACAGTGCCTATGCTGGTTGGGGATGATGGAAGTAGTAGTTCAACAAATGTGGAGTGCATTAGGCTACAGAAATGCAGTAGCTTCTTAGGACTGGCGTCATAGTTACTGTGTATCCTAGGGTGACCAGACGTCCCGCATTTAGCGGGACAGGCATGCCTTTTCATAAATTTTCCCGCATCCCGCGCCGTTCTTAAAAAAACACGCTTTTTTTGGCGCTCGCAGCTCCCTCGCTCCCCC